CCTTTAATACGGCCACCCCGTTAATACAACCAAATTTTTGTGACCCGTTGGTGATCAGATTAACGGGGTTCCACTGTTGTTACTACGTTGTATCAGCCTTACAGTAGTCTTTGACTTCTCATCGTGTTATGTTTTTTGTCCACGTTTTAATAGTCCTGAAATTTTGCCGAATCCTGTTTGATTGTGTCACATAGTTAGATCAATATAGATACTATTACCGTATACAAATCGCTTTACATCATCTAATAAAGCAATTATGATCAGAAATACTTGTCATTTGCTTATGGAAATACGGTATTTCAGAGTTATCCACCATTCAGGAGAATGCATTTCAATGTCTTTTAATACTGAAGAATATTAATACGACCCTTTTAAGACGAATGCAGAAGGAACCTGTTTACACAGCGGACACCTTAACGTGTTAAGCGGACACTAGCACGAGGGTGGTAAAGGGTATTTTCGCGACCCGTGATCGGCCCTTTTTATTTCCTATGAAATGTGAAATAGCCATTTTTTTCCCTCGTGAATCGTGATTTCCATAGTCGCCGTGAACCGTGATTTTCCAAAACGTTCTCTTGTATTTTCCGTGAAGCGTGAAATGCCAATGTTGTATTTTTCGTGAATTGTGAAAGGGCTGCTTTACTTTCCGTGAAACGTGATCTATACTTCCCCTTTACCACCCTCTAGCAAGGTCCGCCTAATACAGGTTTAACTGTAGATTTGCCGTTCGCTCTAATGTTGGCATTCTGGTGTAGACAGGGTTTCCGTCTGCTGTCCCCGTGGTGGGGGACATAAGTATGTGCGATCCCAAAGGGTATGGTTTTTGAGCGGCTTTGCTAGTCAATTTTTTGATTTCCCTCGCGCACTGTACTTTGCTGAAATCCCGACCCTCTCCCCATGTACAAAATGTTTTGACACGCGCTTGCCTCGGATACGCGTGTCGAGTCAACATGGAGGACTTTCAAGTGTCTTCAAAATGGAAACCCGAAAGTCGCATATTAAATAACGCTTTAGCGGTTACTACTGGCTGAAGCAAACGACGCCAATAGCCAGATTGCTGATACAGACAATGATGCATATATGGAGAAGGACTTGGTAGTTCTCGTTTGTCTTCAAATTCGGATGTGAGCACCGTCGAGAACGCCGCTGAAAATATGCAGGGAAAGAATCAGTTTTCAAGATTCAGGATATTACATACCGAAGAAGGTAAACATTTTTATGTTATTTATACCCTGCTGATGCTTCGAAATGCTGACGTTTCGAACTGAAGTAATATTAGGATGTACAGTG